CATCAGCATCCACCATCCTCTAGCTTTGGACCCTTAAGGATAAAATACTGTTGAACACTTTTCCCTTTAGCTAAGATAAACTAAAAACCTCTCATTTGTGTTGAAGCAAAGAGCAATCCAGAGGGTTCGATTCTTAGTACTAATGTGTTTTTTCCAAAAACTGCCACCTTTGAACCAATAGAAGTCGCTTAGGGCATCCACGAGCCAGTTCACATCTTGTTTGCTTAGAGATATTATCGTTCTGAACCCTCAGCCATTTTCACAGATTTGTAGGCCATCGAGGTTTTTCCCGTTTCTAATGACGTCGAAGGACTTTCAGTGGATCAGGAAGAATTTTTTGTTGTGGTTTGTGAGCATCGGGAGGTTAGCTTGGCTAGCCGGTTGGTCGGCCGGGTAGGGGAGAACGGGCTCTCGGGGAGAGGGGAGTTTTAAGAGCTAATGCTTTAATTCTTGTAACATTGCATTGCGAACCCGAAGTTCACAATCAACAACTTTGACTTTAGTCAAATTAGGACAATGAGAGAGTAGTTTAGGGGTGTCCAACCATATGCTTCTACAAAGGAAGTGGCTTTAAGAGAAGAATGGAAGCAAATATTGTAAGCATATTCAATCTGGACAACCCAGTTAACTAATTGTGTTGGGTGATCTCCTTTAAACCAACATAAATACATCTATACTGTGTGGTTAACGACTTGACTTTGGCCATCTGTTTCGGCTGCCGGACTATGGCCACAAGGCTCACGGTAATTGTGATGAACATTGCTTTCCCCCTCTTTGCATGGTTCCCGGCGACCCGCGAGCAACTCTTTGGAAACTTCTTCTAAACGTCCGACCAGCAAGTGAATCCTCATTTTGGCTTGCTCACAGTCATTTTGATATGTTTTGTGAGGAAGGATTCAAGCATGGTATGCAAATCCGTCGACCCTTATGTTTTTGGTACTAAATTGTTAGGATTCCTAATAACGGATCTAGTTGTGGTGCGATAAACATGACAATTTAGACCTCATGGAGAGAGCTGTAACACCCAAGTATTTTAATTTTATTCTTATTATTATTTTTTTTATTTTCTTTTTTTTTTGTATTTGAATTTTTTAGATTTTTAATTAATTTAATTTGATTTAATTTAATTTAATTTAATGAAAATAAAAATAATAATAATGATAAAATTGGGTAAAAATATTATTTGGATTTAATTGAAATTGATTTTGAAAAAAAAGGGTGAAAATTTGGATTCTAGGGGTGTTTTTGAAAAGAAAATCGGAAATTGGGGGGTCAAAATGCAATTTAGAAAAGTTGTGCCACGTCAGCACCCACGTCAGCGGCCCGGTCAGCAGCCCCTGTCAACCAGGACACGCAGCGTGGCAAGGAAACACTGACCAGGGGACGGGCCACGAGGGCGATCCGCGTGAGCTCGATCCGCGTGAGCTCGATCGGACGGCCCAGATCTGTTCCCGCGCGCACGGACGGCCCAGATCAAACGTGCGCACGGACGGCCTAGATTCACGCGTATGGACGGTCCAGATTTAATCAAGCACGGACGGCCCGAATTGCATCTCGATGGACGGCCCAGATTTAATTCCAATTAAATCGCGATCGAACGGTTCAGATTTAATCTTGATGGATGGTTGAGATTAAAAGACAAAAGGTATAAATAACCCCACCCACACCTGACCACAAAACCCTAGCCGCCAGTGCCTCGCCAGAGAAGAAGAACCAGACGCTAGAAGAGCCGGTCGTCGCCACCCGCCGCCGCACTGGGGAAGTTTCCGACCGACGATCGAGGTAAATTTTCTCCCCCTGGCTCATTTTTCGATGCTGAGTCCGCCTATGGCCAAACCGGAGCCAAACCACCGGCCAAACGGCCGGAAAACCCAGCCAAAGTCCAGCGGTTCCGCCACGCCCCCCCTCTGTTTTTGCCTTCGATGAGGCCCTTCCTGGCCTTCTGCAAATTTTATACCACTGTGATCACCGTTCTTTTCTCTACAGGTTGATCGGAGCCAAACATCAAAACGTGACTCATGCCGGAGGAACCGCTGCACCCGAGAGCACCGCTGCCGGTAAGTTTTGGTTTTTCGTGATTTTTTGGCCCATCGAGGGCCCTAAGGTTGTTTTATCACAGGGACCGATGCAAATGTGGCCGAAAAACGCCGAAAACGGTCAACCCGAGGCTAATCGCCGCCGCAAGCAGCAGCGCCTTTGCCGGAGCACGGCGGAGCTGCCGTGTCGGAATTTCGATATTGGCCGAAAGGGGTCATAGGTCTGATTTGGGATTTTTTAGAACACGTGCAGGTACCGGTAGTTCGTTTCAGTTTTCCTGAAAAAATTCAAGAAAATTAGGAACAGCCTGTAGGCACACTGTAGAGTCGAATTCAGACCCCAAAACAAGTAAGGACCCCTCACCCTATTTTCTATCACGGTATTAAAGCTTAATAAGTAATTAAACGGTATTTTGAGATTTTATAGATGTATAATTGATTGAGATTGCCAATAGAGCCCGAGTCTGATACAGTGTTGGTCTGTTGTTGTTTGATCTAATTTTCAGTATTAAATGCAGTATGATATTTGATGTAATTATGTTATGGTCTCGTATGCATGAATCATAATTTCTTTTATTATGGTTTGTATTATGGTGAATCCGATACTGTGTTGTCTTGTTTGGTGTCAATTACTGGTTTACATGTTGTGTATGATTGGATTATTGAGATTAAGGAAAAAGGAAAAAAGGTTATGTGAATTGATAAGTGGAAAATGTGGACAGCCTGACTAGATATCCTGAGAGATGGTGGACGGACCGGGTCCGTAGGGAACCCTACTGGGAACGTGGTCTCTCATACCGGACGGGGTATGGGGACGGATCTGGAATCAGGTTGTAATGTTAATGGTTCACGGGTAGCGGGGACCTTCTATCGATTTCCATGGATACTAGTAGCTGGTAAATGAGAAAATATGTTGTTTAATGATTGAAATGCAAAGGCGTGGTAAGTGTTATGTTATAAAGTCTATATGATTCATGATGATGATAATGTTATTGCTTTCATATGTTGTTTTCATGGATCTTAACCGAAGTAAGTGGACAGTAAGGGTTTTTATGTTAATAAACGAGTTTGTTATAGATTATGCTCCATTGGTCATTTTTGTTTTCTACCCACCTTTACTTCCGTGGCGGTGAGATAGTGTGATGTCTTTACTGGGCTGGTGTAGCTCATCCCTTATTTAACCATTTCAGATCAGGAAGACGTTGTTCCCGATCTCGTTCCGTAGGAAGACGGCGAAGGGGACGCCTAAAGACTTTATAGTTATATTTATATTTTTTATTTCGAGTATCTCTTTTAGTTAGTTTGTTCCTTCATGTTTTGAGTACGTTTTGGTTATTGTATAAGGAATGTGAATCAAAATTTTTATTACGTTTCCGCATTTGAAATTTTTAATACATATATTTCATTTAAACTTCCGGGTCCGTTACAAGAGAACCCTATAATCTCGAGTAAGGAGGTACTCAAACTTTTCAATAATTCTCAATGCATACATTTCTACTTACAGCAACAGAATTTATTACAATAGAGGAAGTAGTTATGGTAGTTATTCTAGAATTCTCCTAATTTCCCTATAGTGTTCTCCTTATCCTATTCTCTCTTATCCTTAAACTAAGTCATACTCATACCCTAATACATATTGTGCTATTAGGCACAATACAATATCTAATACATTGGTAGACTCAATACACTATCTAAATACACAACTTAATTTCTCTTCCTCCTTTAATAGACCTTGGCAAAAGGTGTTATCTTCTGAATGGAAACTTTTAACAAAATTATTGTATCCATCCATAGTTATTCTTACTCTTGGAGGACTGTGGGCCCATAGACACATAATCGACCAGGAACCTTTTTCTTTCACGCTTAGCAATACTAACAAAGAAAATCTTCCTTCGCCCACATCAATCCCGTTTGCGATGGATATGTCTCCTTTATACAGTGGATAATGCCTAGCCAGTAGGTAATTTGGCTACAGAAATTTTATTCAGTGATACTGAACTCGCGGAGTTTGTAGGCCTAGGGGTTTAACAGTTCCTTGCATTTTTTTCGAAGCTCACTATGTTAGTATGTTCCAAGAGGATATGTGATTTGCCTCTTGGGAAAGGCATTACCTTCTAAAAATCAAAATTGAATTGCATATGAAATTTCTTGGAATTGCTTACTAGATGTCATGCTTCAGAGTTCTTTCATGTAGTCATGTGCCTAAGATTGTTGCTGTATTTATTGTGGCTGCAATTTTTTTTAAAAATATTATTGACATTGCTGCCTGCAACAATACTTAAGTAAATTTATTTGTATTGATGAGATCTCAGTACAAGGTCCTATGGTTTACAGCATGTCAACTGTTGAGCAGTACGTTATTTACGAATAATTGACTTAATATTATATATGCAGTTAATAGCTTGGTGCTGTGTGATAATATTATTGTTTACTTAATACTAAATTGTTGCAGAAAGGTTGAGAATAATAGTTTACCACTTGTATTAAGGAATCTCCTTGCCTATAGAGGATATCATTAGTCATTTATGATTACATGCTGATATTTCCTTATCCTCCTGCCCTGCACTTTCATGCCACTTGGGGCAGTGTGCTCCAACTCCAAGTATGTAAAATTAGACAAGTTAATTTCCTGGAGGATTTTGACTGGCTAAAAGTTTCCTTTCTTTCTTTGTAATAATGTCAGCAATTTCAATTCTTGTTGCTTTACACCAATTAGATACATAACTTCTGGATGATATAGTCAGTAGGTCCTCGTATACTTTACTAATAACTTCTGCAATTCTCAGTCTGGAGGACTTAAATTTGATTGGTATACTTCTTGGAAATTACCTTAACTGATTTAATACTAGAAATATAACATCAGAAGGGGTGCTTGCTACCATTTCCAGGGAAGACGAACTGGTGAAGCGTGCCAAAACACTTAAAGTAAATGCTGGAATTGATCCTGATGCAGATATTGGTCCAGTTATTAGTAAAGAGGTGAAACATGTCTCTGTTACCTTTCTGTTTTTCATCTGCACTTAAGAAGAGAAAAATAGAAAGGAACAAGTTTAAAAGCTAAAGAAATTATTTGAGGGAAGTTTTTCCTCTATTTTCTGCTTTTTATTTTCCAGCTCCAAAGGAGCATATTTATACATAAATGAATAACAACTTTTCTGGACCAGAACTAAATTTTGTGGGGTCAGGGAATATTCAGAATTGGTGTAGGTGACACACCACCAATTCTATTATTCTCCTTTCTACGGTACACAAGAAAGGACAAAAGAGATGAATATTGTTTTTCTTCTAGAATAACAATTATTTTCTACATTTTCTACACTCCCCCTCAATCTAAGTTTACATAGATATTGTGTAAACCTAAAGTGGATACAATATTTTAAATACATGTTTAGGAAGAGCTTTGGTTAGTATATCAGCAACTTGTCGATCTGTGGGAATGTGAATGATGTCTATAACATTGTCTTCGATCTTCTCTATGATAAAATGCCAGTCTATCTCCACATGCTTTGTCCTATTATGATGGACTGGATTCTTTGCTATTCGGATAGTTGACTGATTATCACACCACACTTTTATAGGCGCTCCTGGAGTTAGGTTTAGCTCTTGCAATACTCTCTTTAACCAGACACCTTCACATATACCATGGGCAAGGGCCCTGAATTCAGATTCTGCACTATTCTGTGATACTATTGATTGCTTCTTACTTCATCATGTAACAAGATTACCCCAGACGTAGGTGTAGTACCTTGAGGTTGACCTCCTATCATTGACTGAACCAGCCCAATCAGCATCTATATAAACTCCTATCTCCATATCTGTGTTCTTTTGGAAAAATATTCCATGTCCTAATGTTTTCTTTAGATACCTGAGAATCCTGTACATAGCTCCCATGTGTGTGTTAGTTGGTTGACTCATAAACTGGCTCACTGTGCTGATTGCAAAACTTATATCTGGTCTCGTATGTGCCAAATATATGAGCTTCCCAACTAACCTCTGATATCTCTCCTTATCAGTCAACTTGTCACCCTCACTCTTGCCAAGTTTCACAGTAGAATCCATGAGTGTGTTTGCAGGCTTGCAGCCGAGCATTCCGGTCTTGTTTAGGAGATCAAGTATATATTTCCGTTGAACCATGGAAATTCCCTTCTTTGATTATGCAATCTCAATGCCTAGAAATATCTGAGTATTCATAGGTCTTTTATCTCAAATTTTTTGGCCAAGAACTCTTTTAATTTATGAATTTCTTCATCATTGTTCCTGTAATTATAATATCGTCAACATAAACTATTAAGATCGACTTCTTACCCGAGTCGCAGTGTTTGATAAATAAAGTGTGATCTGACTGACACTACTCATATCCCACTTGCTTGACAGCCCTTGTGAATCTTCCAAACCATGCCCTTGGAGACTGCTTGAGTCCATAGAGTGCCTTTTTGAGTCTGTACACCTGATGAGAGTTGTCGTTTGTCTCAAAACCTGGAGGGATGTCCATGTACACTTCCTCCTCCAAGTCTCCGTTAAGGAAAACATTCTTCACATCTAATTGAAATAAGGGCCAGTCTAGATTTACTGTAAGAGAAAACAAGATCCGTATCGTGTTGTGCTTGGCTACAGGAGAGAAAGTCTCTTGATAGTCTATTCCATACGATTCTGTGAACCTCTTTGCCACCAGACGGAGTTTGTGTCTGTCTATACTGTCATTAGGATTATATTTAGTTGTGAAAACGTATTTATATCCTACCTGACGCTTGTCAGGAGACAACTTTGTCAATTCCCATGTCCTATTCTTTTCAAGAGCTCTCATTTCTTCCTGAATAGCTGCTCACCATTCTGGAATTTTGAGTGCCTCATGAACTGTCTTGGGCTCAGGTGAGCTCTCATCTAGTTTGCTTACAAAAACATGATATTCTGTAAACAGATTACCAAGTGACAAATAATCCTGTATGGGGTGGTTAGTACAGAATCTGGTTCATTTTCTCAAGGCAATAGCTAAATCATCATCAGTAGTAATAGTCTTATTAGTCGGGTCCAAGACGGTCGGAGGCGGATTCGAGTCGTAGCAAAGCTCAGTCCCTGCTGGAACACTACCTTTCTGGGACTTGTTCCTCCTAGTATAGACACGTAACTCCTTTGTTGTGGGTAATGTACTTTCTAGTTTGGGCTCATTTTGTGTGGGTGATATCTAGTGTGTGTGGACAAGTGGTGAAGAAATGGTAGCTTCCCAAATGTGACATTCCTGAGTATGTTTCTCTCCTTGAATGTCGCTTTTGGAATAAAATAGTTTATCTTAGAAAAAAGTGACATCCATGGTGTGATAGAACCGACGAGTATATGAAAAAAAGTATTTGTATCCTTTTTGATGAGAAGAATAACCCACAAAAATGCACTTAAGGGCTCTAGGATCAAGTTTAACCCGAAGGTGTGAGTGGACATGAATATATGTCGAGCAGCCAAAGATCTTTAGTGGTAGGGAATTTAGGATACGAGAATGTAGAAAGGATTTTGAGAGAAGATTAAATGAGGTTTGATACTTGAGGACTCGGGAAGGCATTCTGTTTATCAAGTAAGTGGCTGTGAGTAAGGCTTTCCCCCAAAAATGTTTTGGTACATTCATAGCAAATATAATGGATCTGGTGACTTACAGAATGTGTCTATTTTTTTCTCTTCGCAACACCATTCTGTTTAGGGGAATAGATGCATGAACTCTGATGAATTATACCATTTTCAACAAAATAACTATTAAGGGTTGATGTAAAGTACTCACAAGTATTATCAGATCTTAACACTTATATTGTTGTGCCAAATTGGGTTTTAATCATTTTGTGAAAATTTTGAAATATGGCTTTTATTTCTGACTTCTGTTTTATAAGGAATACCCAAGTGATCCTTATGTGATCATCAATGAAGGATACAAATCACTTATTTTAGGATATGTCATTGAGTTGGGAAGGTTCCCAAACATCATTGTGAATTAAGGAAAATGGTTTAGATGATGTATACTTGAGAATAGGAAAAGTATTCCGAACATGCTTAGAAAGTTGACAGGTTTCATATCGATATAACAAAGAGTCTTTATTAGTGAACAATGACGGAAACATTTTCTTTAAATACAGAAAGTTTGGATGTCCCAAGCAGGAATACCATAACATGATTTCATGGTCACAAGTACTACTAATAGAAATAGAATCAGTCCATACTACATTTGGAGCTTTGTCTACTAGAAGGTTCAACACGGAGGAGGTAGAGTCTGGTATACACTCCAGCATTGCCAATCATCTTCCCCAAATCCGAGTATTGAAATTTACACAAAATTGAACCAAATTTGGCAACACAGTTGAGATCAGTAGTCAAGTTTCCGAACTGATAGTAAATTATATGCTAAATTTGGAACAAAGAAACCGATTCCAGAACAATTGAGGGTGACACGACAACTAAGCCAATACCAACTACTCTAGATACAGTTTCATCTGCAACCCTAATGGTGAAATATTCACTGCAAGGATGGTAATCTTTAAACAGAGAAACATTACTAGTCATGTGGTCGGTTGCACCGGAATCAACTATCCATGCTTGTTCACCTGTAGAACATGCTGTAAAACAGAGTACATGAGGATTATCACCTTTTTGAGTGACTGTTTTATTAGCTGAACCTTGGGATAACAATTTTTGAATAGTCTTTTGGAGAATATCAAGTTGCTCTGGGGTAAAATGGTCCTTTCTAGAACCTGAGGCAGAATCAGACCCTTCCATCTTCATTTGTTGTTGCAACTACATCTGCGTTACTTCGCGATTCTGTGGAGCTTTCGGATTTCAGAGGACAACGGTCGGCTGGCTTGCCATGAAGTTGCCAGCAAGAGTCGCGTACGTGGTTGGGCTTTTTGTAGTAATCACAAAATGGTCTGCCCTTTTTCTTGCGACTCTCAGAATGCGTCGTTAGAGCTGACGCATTCTTAGATGACCCTGCTACAACACGGGCCCTCACCCATCATAATTTTCTTTCGGCTCTCCTATCTTCTGACTCTGAGAAGGCTTCGTGAATGCTGGGCAGAGGCTTTTGACCCAAAATGCGTCCTATTAAATCGTCAAGGTAGGGATTTAGACCCAACAGAAATTTAAACATTCTCTTTCGTTCAACCAAGTTCTGGTAGGTTCTGGTATCTTCAGGGAGGACCCATTTCACCTCTTCAAACTCGTCAAACCGCTGCCAGCTTCACGTAAGAATATTGTAATATTGTGTCACGATAGAGTCGCCCTGATGGAGGTCGTGGAAGGCTGTTTCCACTTCAAACACAGCTGCGGTATTGTCTTTGGAAGAATAAAATTTCTTGGTAGAAACCCAAACGTCGTGAGTAGTTTTGTATAGGAGGAAATTTTCTCCTATTTCCGACGTCATTGAGGTGACGAGCCAAGACATGACGAGGCTGTTCTCCATTTTCTATGTCTTTGCGTTTGGATCAGTGGCGAGTGGTGGTGGTGCTTCTCCGGTGATATATTCCTCTTTACCCTTGCTCCGGATAAAAAGCAGTACAGAAGAGAACCACTGTAGATAGTTGTTTTCAGTCAGCTTGTGGCCCGTAATCTGTGAAGAGGCTTGCTCTTCGGTGCCGTGTGTGACTGCTGAAGAAAAGAAAGGTCTTGAAAATACATCAGGTGATGATGAGGACGACATGCCTCTAGAAGCCATAACACTTGTTATATTATGCTAGAACAGGGGTAATCGAATGCAGAATCAGAACCGAAGAAGCTCTGATACCATAAAGAAATTATGAAGCTATTTTGAGGGAAGTTTTTCCTTTATTTTTTGCTTTTTATTTTCCAGCTCCAAAGGAATATATTTATACACAAATAAATAACAATTTTTCTGTATCAGAACCAGATTTTGTGGGGTCAGGGAATATTCAGAATTGGTGTATGTGACACACCACCAATTATGTTATTCTCCTTTCTACGGTACACAAGAAAGGACAAAGGAGATGACAACTGTTTTCCTTCTAAAATAACAGCTATTTTCTATGTTTTCTATAAAAGCTTCGGTTTTACCGTAACGTCTTGAAAGCTGGAAACATGTTATGCTGCCAGATTAATCAATGTTGCATGTTTGATACCCCCCATTTTTCTGATTTCCTGTATTTGTTTGTTTTTATGCTTGTTGAACTCACAGGTGAAGGATTGGATATGCAGAGCAGTTCAAAGCGGTGTTGACAGTGGTGCAAGGCTTCTTCTTGATGGCAGATATGTTTCGGTACTTATCTGTTTTATTTTCATTAGGTGCAGTTTATTCAGTGTTTGCATCTTCTTAAGATGAATACTCATGTCTCTTGCGTTCTGGTTCCCTTTGCTAATTGCGATCCGTTGATTTGGGTTAAATCTGTCCTTCCGGACATAAAGAATTATGACATTTCTTTTTTTTTTTTCGAGGGCAACTTATATATTGCCACGGCTTTGAATGTCTTTTACAACGTGTTCAGTTCAATTTTCATTCCATCCTTAGCTTACACTTTCTTTTAATTGAAAAAGAAAATATACTTGTAGGGAGAAAGAGATACAAGAAGGGAGCATTGAATACCTCGAAGAAGCAAAACAAAAAACAAGAGAAGCTAACTAATCACAAGAAAGAATAGCTGGCCAATCTCTGCATAAAATTAACGAAGAACCATCCTTGAAGTGGCTGTCAGCCTTGCCCAAACTTGTAAAAAACATTCTTCCAAAGAATCATAAAAGTTGATTCATAATTTCTAATGATTCTAGCATGGTCAAACCAGATAACCCACAAACTAGCAAAAACAGGCCCCACACATGAAAGAACCTTAGGTCCCTCTTCATCCTTAGGCGTAGCACAAATGGAAGAGGAAAACTCTCCACATTTTGAGGAGAGATCAAGTAGTGCCAATAGACTAAAAAATACACCACCAAGTTCTCCAAGCCATCTCAGAGTGTAAGAAAATATGATAGTGGGTCTTAACATTTTGATAGCTCGTCGCACACATCCTTGGTGATAAAGCACAATTCAGTCTGCGAATCGTATATAACATTTTGGTAGCTCATCACACACATCCTTGGTAACAAAGCACAATTCAGTCTGCGAATCGTATAAAGCCTATTCTAAATCACAATCCAAACAAAAACTTTCGTTTTAAAGGGAGCTTGAACTTTCAATAAGGGTTCACGAGGAGGAACATTATGAATCTCATGATTGTGTACAATTTACAGGACCAGATCCAAAGACTAGATCCTAGAGCTTGGATAACTAGAAAACATCATAGAATCAAGAGCGTCAGTTACACTAGCCATGGCTTTTGCTTCTCCATCATTAAGGTTATGGAAGAAAGCAAATTCCAAGAGAAAATTGTTTTCTCGAATCACAATAGAGGATATGAGAGAAAAATGTTTATTGAATAATCTATAAAGTTTGGGGAAGCAGGAAGCAAGAGAAACAATGTCAATTCAAGGATCCTCCTGAAATAGAAAATGAGAGCTATTGCCAACCATCAACTAAAGTAGTAGTAAGAATGAGACATTAAGACCAAAGATAGCCTTCTAGGGACTCTTGTAAGTGCTTGAAACAATGACTTTAGAATCCCACCCATTCTGGTGAGGTCCATACTGGGTCTTAATAACCTTGTGGCAAAGATAGTAGATTTCTGAAGAAAACCTCCATAACCATTTAGCTAAAGGAGAGAAATTTTTATAATGAAGATTCCCAACACCAAGAACCTTTTCTTCTCTCCTCAGCTAACATCTCTCCCAACTATGTGATCTCTCTTACTCACTTGATTCCCATATTAAGAAAAATCTTATCACTCCCTCAATTTTATTATCACCCTTTTAGGAATTTAAAGAGATGGGAAATACGAAGGGATGCTGGACAAAGACAATTAGATAAGAGCAACCCCATACCCTTGGAGAAAGAGACACCCTTCTAAGAATCTAAACACTTAGGGATCTTATAATGGATCCCAAAAGTAATAAACCTGATGATTGCCTCCAAGGGGAACACCATGGTAGGTAAAGGACCACTCATTGACATCATACCCCATAGAATCTACAAGAGCCTTCACGTCCTAATTTTCAATATAATGATCAGGAACCCACTCTTCCCAAGATTATTGCACAAACCAAAATAGTCAAAAAAATGTACATAATGGTGATCACATTATAGAATTGAGTATGGTCATTGGATAGAGATTGGTTTGTGAATATGACTAGAAATCTGAACGACTATGAAGTGGGTGAGTATGAAGCATTGCGGTAGCTACTATCCACGAAATAGATCAATCCTAACAGGGATCAAGTCAAAACAAAATGGTGAATTCACTGTTAAGTTTTACTACAACTACTTTGGTGAGAGGTGAGACTGATAGAGTGCCCAATTTCTCTGCTTATTAGATTTGGAAAGTAAAGACACCTCCAAGAATTGCTTTCTTTGCATGGGAGACAAGTTGGGAATGTATTTTGACGATCGACAAGTTGAGATAAGAGGCAAAATCATGGTTAATGGATGTTATTTGTGTAAGAAAATTGCTAAATCTTGTAACTATATTGAAGATTTTTGAAAAAAAATACTTTTTATTTCTTATTCTTTTTGTTTATGCTTAAGATATATATGTATATATGTGTGTAAGGAATTATCCTTATTTAAGGAAGATTCTAATTACATGATATTATTTTATTATTAGAACTCTAAATAATAAAATATTCTATTTAACATAATATCTTATTTGAATTCTTATTAATACTGCCTCTAAGTTGGTGCAAATATATCACACATGCTTGACTTGCAAAATAGATTCAGAAGAGATTTATTGTATAGTTTTTTAGTGAAGATATCTGCTACCTGATCATCAGAAAATACATGATATAAGCATAGGGAGTCATCAACCACTTTCTCTTTTCTGAAGTGTCGATCAATCTCAATGTGTTTTGTTCTGTCATGTTGAACTGGGTTATGAATAATGTTAATTGTTGCTTTATTGTCACAAAACATGAATAATTTCTCATCTTTAAGCAGTTTTAATTCCCCAATTAACTTGCAAGCATAATAATTCATATACTACTTGGACCATTGCTCTATATTTTATCTTAGCACTAGAGTGGACAACTACACTTTGTTTCTTACTTTCCATGTAACTAAATTGTCTCATATGAATGTGTAATAACCCATAGTTGATCTTCTATCATCTAGAAATCCAACCGATTGACATTTGTAAATATATCTATTTTAAGGTGACCATATTTAGGAAAGAGTATACATTTTTCTGGTGCAGATTTTATGTATCGTAATATGCAGAAGACATGTAAATGAATCTTGCGAGGATCATGCATGTATTAGCTCACTAGACTAACTGCATATGGTATATCAAGTCTGGTATGTGAGAGATAAATGAGTCGTCTAACTAATCTATGATATTTTTCCAAGTCGACTGATGTAGTACTACTTGTTTGTAGTTTGTGATTGCTCCTAATAGGTGACTTTACCGGCTTGCAATCTAGTGCACTAGTTTTTTCTAATAAGTTTATGATGTACTTTCTTTGAGAAATGAAGATCATTTTATTAGATCTGATAACTTCAATTCCCAAGATATATTACAATTTTTTTAAATCGTTTATTTCAAACTCTCGAGTAAGAAGTTATTTTAGTCGGGACATCTCCTCCATATCATCTTCAATCACCACAATATTATTTATATAAATAATGAGAAAAGTAACCTTACCCTCATGATGTTTGACGAACAAAGTATGATCAATATTGCTTTGTTGATATCCAAAAGAGATCATACATCTTCTAAACCTTTCAAATCATGTTCTTGGAGACTGATTCAATCTGTATAGGACATTCTTTAATTTGCAAACTTTTCCTTACGTAATCTCATCTTCAAATTTAAGTGAAATTTTCATGTATACCTCTTCCTCTAAGTCTCCATAGAGGAATACATTTTTTATATCAAACTGTTGTAGGTCCCAATCAAGGTTAACTGTAAAAGACAAAAGTATTCTAATTTTGTTCTCTTTACAACATGTGTAAGATCTTCTGATAGTCAATTCTATAGATATGAATAAATCATTTAGCCACCAATTTAGTTTTGTATCTTATAATCGATTCGTTTGTTTTGTGTTTTACAGTGAATACCCATTTGTAACCAACCATCTTCTTTACCTGTGGAGGTGAAACAAGTTATCATGTTTTATATTTGTCAATGCTATCATTTTTTCAATCACGACTTCCTTCTACTTGAGATTTTTAGAATTTCTCTTAAATTCTGTAGAATAGACACAGAGAAAACAATTTAAATATAATAATCAATTTGAAATTTGATCACATCTGCAGGACAATTTGTTTGGAAGTCTTGATGGTAATCTAACTCCTACTGTAATCCACTTAGTTAAACAAATTATTGAGAAATAATCATATTTTCTTACTTTGTGCCATGAAATTTATTCTGAAATTTATAAATTTGAGCGTTATTATCCACTTGTAAATATTTAGGAGATGTTGCATTTCATATTTTTTTGACAGTATTAAGCAACATATATATTCTGGTAATATAGGTTGCATGGAATTAATGAGTCACGATATTACCAATGAACTCTCAAAGTCCCATCTATTATATTCTAAACTATCAACATTTGACTTTTTCACCTCACCAGTAATGTAACCCTGCAATTTTTTAGATTTGATGAACAATCTCGATCAAGTAAGATAATTAGTTCAATTAAATTTTACGGGACTGATTTGTAATGAAGAGTTATCAAAACGTAACACTCACATTTTTTGCTTATGTTATTTTAGAGTACTAAATATAAGAAGAAAAATATCCAATAATAAAAAGCAGACCTCCAAATCTGTATTAAAGCAGCCAACGAAGGACAAAAATTTGGAATCAGATCTGGCTTGACTCAACTTGACTCAGTTCAGCTTAGCTCAACTTAGTTTGACTTGGCTCGGCAGCGGCTCAGATGCGGACAACTATGCTCAGGCATGGATGGACCAGGTTTGAGTTGTCTAGTGCGCGAAATGGCCAAATCAGATGTCCCCGTGCGTGGAAAACCCGAATGGCATGGCGGAGGAGATCAGTCTGGTCAATGCAATGTAATTCAGCGCGTGACTGTAGCAACATGGTGTGCGGGAGGAGCAATCAAGTCATCTCCAGACGCGGATAGGCCGGAACGGAGCGGCGGAGGGCGCAGAATGACAAATATGCCAAATGCGCGCAGCCGCGTGAAAAAAAGGTAGATGTGAGATCAAGCCGGATATTGTGTGGAAAGGAACCAAATTTGTCACGATCGAGTGTTTCTGCCGGTGTTCCAAAGTTTTTTGGGACGAAAGGGATGAAGTCGACAGAGCGTGTGGCTCACGTGCCTCTGTTGTCAACAGCGCGTGAGGCTCACACACGTGGAAACCAGTTGGTGTGCTGGCCGGTGGTGATCGGTGCCGTCTGGGATGGTGATGAGTTTGGTTTTTTGGTAGTTAAGTATTAACTCAGCCTATTTTATTATTTTAAGGTTTGGAAAAAAATTCCGAAATTATAATTCTAAAATAATAGTACTTTGACTCTGGTACCATGATAATTTTTAAAGAAAAAATATATTATTTTTTATTTCTTATTCTTTGTATTTACACTTAGAAAATATATATAGGGAATTATTTTTATTTTAGAAGGATTTTAATTACATGATATTACTTTATTATTACAATTCTAAATAATAAAATATTTTATTTAGCATAATATCCTATTTAATATAGAATTCTTATCAACACATATCCTTCTTTGCTGCGCTATGGCTTATGATTTTTAGACAATGGTCTATGGGCTTATGGGGATTAACTGGGTGATGACGTGTACTGTAAAAGATGAGATTTGGGCTTGTGAAAAGGTTTATAATAAAAGAAAGTTTGTAAAGCTGATTCCATTAAGTATTTTCAGTATGGTACTTGGCTCCTTTGCCTGTTAGTATGATTTGGAAGCTTCAGATATCATGGCAGAGCTGTTATTGGAGCGAGCTCCAAAATGATTCCTCTCCTGCTTTCCTATGTGACTATAATAGAGATAACCTCATTTAGAGATGATATATCTTCTTTCCCAAGATTTGGACTCTGATTTGATCAGATTATGGACTTAGACTAGCCATGGATTGGTAGGCATGATCCATTTCCACAAACTGCTTTAGGCTGACGGCATTCCTTGCTGCAGTATCCGTATAATTCTTGCCTCCAGTTTTTTAATAAGTTAGGATACTAAGTAATTGACCTGTTTCCCTGCTGTGTAGATCATGTTCTTCATTGTCAGTATTTGGGCAACATTGTTACCCTGCAATAGGTTTCTCAAACTTCATTCCACACCTCTTTTAGAACTAGGAAGAAACATACAAAATATTGGTTGTCTCTGGTGACATTGAGTTCCAGAGCCAGATCATTATCATAGAGTCTTTGTCATCCCATACATCAAATTGCTGGTCTCCCTGGTTGAGGTCCAGTGCCCAGAATGTGGCTGAGTTCCTTTTTTTTTTCAGGATTGTTTGGATCGGTTATGATCAGTTTAAATAATTCTTTCCATTCAAATGATAGGCTACCTGAGTTGGTTAAAATTCTTTGTTGGTTTGTGTTTTCTACGTGGAATCTTTTCCAGCAATTTGAGACATAACTTCCAACATGATTTAAAGTTCTTTTGGACAATTAAGACCAATTTAATAGGACAAAATTGGGGGTTACCAGGCTGAATAGGTGCAAATTCGGAGCTGGAAGATAACTCCCGTGTGTCAAGACAGTCTGCCTGCAGCTGATGTGGTGCATAATTGCGGTTCTAGTGACTGGACAGAGAGGTAGCTGGAACAGGCACACGAGGGGCAAGCACAGCTGGAAGCTGCTCGGCTAGTGGTTGCACATGGTAGGGGCAGGCGCCACTAGAGACAGTGCAGCTGGTGGCTGCGCACAGGAAGGGCAGGTGCACTTGAAACAGCTGACTAGAAGGCTGAGCAAAAGGTGGCGTGGCTGGAGGATTTGGTTGTGTAGTTGGGGCACAACCGGGCTGCCACTGCCAGTGACGAAGGTCGGTCTTGATTGGTGGTGGCCGGCTACTGTAGTGGTGTCAGCAGGCTACTATGGCTGACCTCCTTTAGAGTTTTTTTTTTTGGCAACGAAGGCGAACTAGATTTGGAAAAGGAGCTAGAATCTTTTACCTAAAGATCTGATACAATGTGATGTTTATTTTCTTGAATATGAAGGCTCTATATATAATAGTTCTCTAGAGTAATAAAGAAAACCAACAATTAATTCCATAGGGCGTATTTTACCAGAATACAATTTAACTTAATTATCCTAGATTAGTTACATATAAAGTACATTCTCTAACACCATTCACTATCTTTTGGGTAATTTAGAAAGAACAAAATGGTAGGGCTTTTGATGATATAGAGGATGAGTGGGCAAACATTAAGGATGGGTGGTTTTATTTTTTTGGCTTGCTGATTTTAGGTCATGACATATACAAGGTGAAAAATTTTGGGAATGTCATTGAAATGATTACTACTATGTAAATATTTTGAATATAGGTGGCACCCTCTTGGTGCTTTATAATATACTTTATATTTTTAATTAAAAAAAATAATACATTCTCCAACACAAGCCATATGGACTAGTAAATTGGATTTCTCTTTCAAGCTGAAATAGGAAGTAATGATCTTATGATTGAGAGTCTGCAGGAAATATGTATGCATGTGGTATTAAGTAGTAGCTTTGAAGTTGAATTGTAGTTTTATGTGACTCTAATTTCTTTGTTGTTGTGGGTGAGGTTGTTGCACTTTTAGAAGTACAGTTAATATATTTCTAGATAAACCTTTGTATCATTTGCAGAGAATGGGCTATATCTGTTATTTTTTAGTTTTTCTATTTGTGTTATGAGATTATTTTTTATTGTAGTCCTACTAAAGTTGCACATTTATCTAGCATGAAATACTTTCTCCTTTAGGCTTTGGGCCACAATGTTACTTGGAAGTTTGGCGTACAGTATAAACTGTTATCTTTATATGTTTGGAAAAACGAAAGGAACTGTTTGGTTTGCGTCTTAGGCATGAATGGAAAAGTAAAATCATGATGGAGGCTCAAATGCCCTTGGTTACTTAATGCTGGTAAAGTTGGGATGAATTGCATGACATGAACATGGTTGCTGATTGATTAGGGGAATGTAGTTCTTGGATGGTTAATTTGTCACACTTCTAAGGTCAGTGACACTTCTCCCACACCATGGTTTATCCTTCTACCACCTGCTAAAATTCCATATAGTCTGCTTTCTTAATTTGTTTTTTTTCTTGTCCTTCTCATTCATATTTTAGTATGAAAGATCTTGTGGACCAAATGAATTCTGATATGCTTGGCATGTGATCGTGAAGTTTATTCTTGAGAAATCATATATGAAACACACTGAAATATATGTAGGTTCTGGGATATGAGAAAGGAAGTTTTGTTGGTCCCACCATCTTATGTGATGTTACTGTTAACATGGAATGCTACAAGGTACCTTTCCAGTGGTTGCATTTCTTTATATACCTTCGAAATGAATAAACTTGTACTATTTCATGGCTTTCAGTAGGAGAGTAATTGAATTAGTGTCCTTGGCATATTCTTGACTATACTGTCTTGTGTTGGGCAGGAAGAAATTTTTGGGCCACTTCTTCTGTGCATGAAGGTATCACTTGATTATTTTTCCTCTTGCATTTCTAAAATTGCTTTTGTAGCATTAATCAGAGGCTTGTTAATTGGATTTCATATGATGAGCAGGCAGACAGTATTGAAGAAGCTATAGACATTGTAAACCGGAACAGGTACTTGATTTAACTTGTCCTCTTGATCACAAGAACAAATGCCATAGTTACAAATGTTCTTCTGTTGACTCCTAATTCTAATGATTTTTTGGAAATTCTAATTGTCGATGCTTGGTGTATTTTACAAGTGTGCTTTTCTGAAATTTCTAATTGTAGTCAATTGGAAGTTTCTTGATCAGGTGATGGGTGATAAGGGATTCGGTAATAGGTGGAGAAATTGGATTCGAGGATGTTTATCCTCATGTTCGCCTTTAGTGATTGTCCATGGGAAAAACCCGATATTGGTTTAGAGCCTAAAAAAGATTTAGGCAGGATGATCCTCTGCCCCTTTTTCTCTTTACCTTGGTGTGAATACATTAAGTAGGATATTGACTAGAGCTATAAAGAGGAGCTTAATAATAGGGTTAAGAATGGGGTTACAAAATGTGGAGGTATCACATTTACAATTTGTGGATGATACGTTTATATTCCTAGAAAATGACAATAGATCTTTATCTAATGCTTTTGCTCTCATCCATGTGTTTGAACACATCTTTGGACTGAAAATCAATATGGGGTTTTGTTGAATATGATATTTTATTATTTTAGTTTATTATTTAATTAGTTGATATTATGTAATTAGAATTATATTAGAATAGAAATCTCATGTAATTAAAATTTTATTAGAATAGTTATTTCCTAATTTGTAGGTTACGAATTGTATAAATACTCAGGTGTAACAATTTAAAGGGTGAGAAATAAAAATTATTTATTTATTTTCCTAAAATCAATATGGTATCATAACCAAATAAATTTATTTTAGGGTTTTAATTTCAAAATTTTTTAAAACCCTAAAAATACCAAAAATAGGCTGAGTAAAAAGAGAGCAAGATAAGAGGAAGACGGGAAGCCACTGAACTCCCTCTTCTGCACGCGCATAGGAAGCTTCTGAGAGATCACACAGATTCGCGCATGGGAAGCTCTAGCTAAGCCGCATAGTCCACACACGGGTAGCTCAGCCAAGTTGCGTTGTACTTAATACCGTGTCTTTCCTTCTTCCTCCGCGCCCAGAGATGCGCGAAGACCTGATTGATCAAGCTTCTTCCACCATGCATAGAGACGCGTGAAGAGCCGATCGATTGACATAACTTCTTCTATCACCGCGCATAGAGCCGCACGATTTGTCTCACTTCAATTGCACAGAGCCTCTGGCTGCGACTTACTGACCTTCTACCGGGCACGATCTTCCCCCTTTGCCGCACGTAGAGCCTTGTACGGGGAGTTTTTCTGGCCAGCTGCTTTGAGCCGATCTAAGCCATTGAGCCGAGCCGCTTGCGCCAAGCCTAGTTGAGTTTCAGCTGAGCTAAGCTGTTTCTTTTGAGGCGAGTTGTTTTCCCGAGCTGAGCTGTTTTTCGAGACGAGCCGTTTTTCGAGTTGAGCCGGTTTTCGACTTGACTTCGAGCTGTTTTGAGCCAGTCGAGTTGCTGATTTGCTAGACATATCTGTTTCTTCCGCATGCGAGCCGCTATGATCAACTTTTTTTTATCCTTTTTCTGGCTTCTCTGCGCGCGGCTGCCCCTAAGTTCGCGACCAAGCCTTCTTTGCGCGCTAGCTGCTTTGACCAGTCTTTTATGGTCCTTTTTGTAGCTCTTCTGTGCACGTCGGGCTCTAATTTTGCGATCTGGCACAGATTCGCTTCCTTTGCATGAGAATGCTCCGACCAGTCTTTTCTGGTCTCTTCCGCTCGTGTACGCCTTGAATTTGCAATTTGGTATGTAAGTTAAGTATGTGCATGTGTGATATATTTACACCAACTTGAGAGGGGAAATGGTTGTTAAATATAATATTTTATTATTTTAGTTTATTATTTAATTAGTTGATATTATATAATTAGAATTTTATTAGAATAAAAATCTCATTGTAATTAGGATTTTAATAAAATAGTTATTTCCTAATTAGTAGGTTAAGAATTTTATAAATATTTTAAGTGTAACAATTTAAAAGGTGAGAAATAAAATTAATATTTTTTTTTTCAAAAATCAACAGGTTTAATAGGATTAATGTGGGAGATGACTCGATTAACCATCTAGCAGACTCAAGGGATTGTACTATGTTATCATGGCCCCTTGTGTATCTAGGCGTTCCCATTAGGTGGCAAGGCCAAGGAGGATGATTTTCTGTGTAGGAGTAGAGATTAAGGTGGCTGGGTGTCTTGAGAATTAGAAGCATGGTCTGGTCACTCTTGGGGGAAGGGTAATCTCGATTAACGCTTGCCTTTCTAGTATAACACTCAATTTTCTATTTCTATTTAGGATACATGTCAGAATAGCTGAGAGGCTTGGGGGTAGAATGAGAAGATTCTTAGGGATTGGTGTTGATGAGTGGTGTAGGGATTACTTAATTTGGTGGGAGGTTTGTTATCAGTCCAAATTTTTGGGGGGTTTGGGCATTGGGAATCTCATATTAAAAAACTTATCTCTACTAGGAAAATAGTTCTGATATTTCTTCATGAAATTCTCTATGGTATAGGGTGATAAACAATATCCATGGATGTCAAAGAAACGACTGGGATGCCCTTGTTGGAAGATACACAATTCACTAAAGTCCTTCGAAATCCATTTTCCTAATCTACCCTTTGTTTACCCCACTCATCGGTACATGTGGGAAATGGAACTAGAGTATTGTTTTTGGAAGATATTTGGTTGGGAAATCAACCACTTGCCACAAAATTCGCTCGGCTTTACGAGTTATCTGCTAGAGACACACTACCCATGTCTCTAGTTTTGCTGTTAATATCGAGGGAAGAACTATCTTGAAATTTCATTTTAATCGTAAGATAGGGAGACTTCTGATATGTTAAACTTATTGACCATGCTTGAACCCATACATATTACTTGCCAACTAGATAGACATTCATGGATTCTTCAACCTTCTAGTTAACACAATTTCATATTGCAAGATATTTTGGAAAGCTATAGTTCCTTCCAAGATAAAGGTATTTCCATGGACTTTTATCAACCAAAGACGCAACAATAATGACTTGCTTCAAATTCATTGCGCTCATCGTGCTTTGTCTCCTAATATATACGTTTTGTGCTTCAGAGATGGTGAGATTCATTCCCACTTGTTTCCACACCACACCATGGCCTAGAATTATGGACTGATCTGATGAATAAGTTTCACCTCTACTGGTGGCACCTTTTACAGTCAATAGTTTTATGACTTCTTGTATCTAGGGGGTTGGCATGAGAAAAGAGGCTACGACACTATTGCAAGATGCTATTTTTGCAGGTATTTGCTGTATTTGTGTAGCAAGGAATCACCGAAATTTTCTTGATCGGGCAATGTCCTTCCATGAGCTGAATGAGAGGGTCACTTTATGGCTTCCCTTTGAGCAAAAGCACATAGGCATTTCCCGAACATAAATGTCTTAGAGTTCCATTGTAATTGGGGTACTATCATTTAGAGTAAAGGGGAGAGATCTTTTGCACACATTGTTTTGACTTTTTTATTCTATTTATGTTTTCAGGAGGATGTCTTGTTCTCCATTTTTATAACTTATTTTCTTTTTCTTACACCTTTAATAAAGCTTCTTCTTTTATTAAAAGAAACTTTAATTTTATAAAACATTAGAATATGTTAAGGACTACTCACTTGTAATGTTAAATTTAAAATTTTCGAAGAAAGACTAAAACTTCCTTAAAATCCTATTCAATTCAAAATATCGAATAAATATCTATAAAGAAGAAGCTTGTAGAGAAAACATATTAACCATAGATGAGGAGGGGCAGCTGCATGGCTAATCGTTGTTTCATGTGCAAAACTAATGAGGAATCGTGTAATCATTTGTTGATGTGGTGTCCGCTGACTTACGATTTATGGACAATGATTTATGGACTTTTGAGAATAAAATGGGCAATAGCAGGTTCCGTGAAAGCTGAAATATAGGCATGGACTGGTTTGTGCAAAAAGAGAAATAACTTAATGCTTATTCTTTTATCGGTTTTATGGGTAATGTGGAAGGAAAGAAATTCAAGAACTTTTGAGGGGATTGAGAAAGATTTCAATTGTATTAAGAATAGATGGATTCATACTTTTGGTTTTCTATTATTGGGTCAATGATATTTCGGATTTAAACGAAATTGAAATAGTGTTAGATCATTTAATAGAGATGTAAATGCTGTGTAATTGGGTGGTACTCCCTTGGTACCGATTTTATAATACAATTTCTTTTATTTAAAAAATATAATACATATGCATATCGATAAGAAGAGTAATAAATGATCTATGTGATCTAAGGGGGTATCTAGGTAGTATCACTGATCAAACTCCAATTTGTAAATAATTAAACTTTTTGGGACTAAATATGAAAATATGAAACTAATTTAGTTTATTACTCCTAAAATTCATCATGTTTATACCACATAAATTTTAATATGAAAATTATTTGCATAAAGAATAACCAACTTTAGGGACTCATTCTCCTAGCACAGACCAAATTGATAAATGAATCTCATATACCTATAACTAGATATATAGAACTACAATTAGAAAAAAAGGAATTAATCAAATAGTAGAGGGATATTTGAGAGCCTAAAGGCTTGCGGTTCGCATTTTTCCCTGTAAGACTAAGTATTTAAAATTCATTAATCTCTTGATTTTCATACCAATCACGCAATCTTAGTATTTAAGGAAAGCTTATGATATGCATTTAATAGTTACATTTGCTTGGTAACTGAAAGTTGACTTGAAAAATTGAAAAAGGTTGGAATTTACTGTTGTTGCAATTAACATTCTTCCCGTAGCCTTAAATATTCAAAAATTCATAACTCTGTCAATTTTCATTTAAATCATGCAATCTTGGTGTCTGTAAAAAGTTTATGATATGTACATTATAGTAACATATATTTGGCAGACTGAAAATTGGCCAGAAAATTGGAAAACAGCCAGAAACCTACTGTTGCAGTGATTCATGTTTTTCTAGTCCTAAATTTTCAAAACTTTATAACTTTCTTAATTCTTATCTAAATCATGTAATATTGGTATTTATAGAAAGCTTATAGTATTTAGATTGTAGTTACACAGATTTGGTTCCCGAAAAGTGGTTGAAAAAAGCGCATAATCGCTGAAAAGGCCACTGCCAAAATCTTTGCTTTTGTTTTCTTCTTCCAGCTAGTTACTATATATAAATATGCTACGGACTTAAATCCCAGATTGGGTTTAAGTTTTTACCTTTGTTATTGCTGCTTATGTCATTCTTCTTCTCTTTTCTTTTCTCTTTGACTCTTAGGTTCTCCAGGATTTTCTTTCAGATTAACTCCTAATAAATAACTAGACACACACACATGCATATATAGAGGATGACTATCTCCCATAAGATAAAAAAAATCCTTACAATTTATGGTAAATTCTAAAATAACCCCTAAACTTCATAAATAATAATATGGGTACTCTTTGGTCCATAATTAATTAATAATTAATTGTTCTTCTGAAATGGGCATTGTAATATGACAAGCCTTTTTCATCTTTTAGAATCTGGGGTTCTGTCTAATCATCCAGACTGTCAAATTTGGTCTTTTGAGTCTTGATATTCATATTCTTGCAAGTCCTTACTTGGATTTCTTCATGCACAATCCTACCACTGAGATTGATATCCTTAACAAATCGCTGTGAAAGGTATCCATCCTCTATAAGGTTAATTTTTTGGGTTGGGCAATGGCTCAAAGTAGGCCTAATGCATGACGTGCTTCAAGCTCGTAGTCAGAATTTTGCCTTGTTAATTGGGGTCCATGTGATTTGTTATAGAGATGCTGAGAATCATGAAATTTTCTTCTTGAATTGTGAAGTGGCCTGTGAAATTTGGTCCTATGGTTTCTATATTTTTGGTGCTCTCTTTGGTGTTCTCTGGGTTGGGTTTCTTGCTTCAAATTTGAAGGTTCTGAGGAGGAAGAGGGAGAATTATTTTATTTGGAGCAGGATTTCTTTGCTGGTTTGTAGGGATTTTGTTTAGATCAGAGTGCTAGAATTTTTTTGGAATTACAATTCAACTTTTCTGGTTCTTTGGGATAAAGCTCGTTTATAGCATCTGTTGAGGTTTCAATTTTTACTATTTGTGTTTGCTACACCTTCTGGCATCACGGAAGGGGTTTTCCGGGGATGATAAGGTGCAGTGGAATTTGGAAAAAGGTGGTAACTTTTCTGTTAAGTCTTATTTTAAGCACTTAACAAAATGGAACAATGTTTTGAGACCAAATTTCCTAATGAGACAGATTTGGAAAGCAAAGGTTACTCCAAGAGTCGCATTTTCTGCTTGGGAAGTTTGCAGGGAATGCATTTTGACGATAGACAAATTAAAAACAAGAGGGCTGGCTATTCCAAACAGATGCTATATGTGTATGCAGGATGAAGAATCATGTAACCATATATTGTTGAGGTGTCCTGTCGCTTTTGGTCTTTGGAGTCTAATTTACAGCCTTGTTGGTATTAGTTGGGTGATGATGGGGTCTATTAGGGAGGAATTGTGGGCATGGGAGGATATGTATTTAGAGAATAGATTAATTAACTTATTCCATTGACCAGTTTTTGGGTTCTTTGGAAAGAAAGGAATTTTATAACTTTTGAGAGTAAAGAGACTGATTTGTATAGATGGAGAGATAGATGGATGCATTATTTTGAGTTTATTTTACTAGGACATGACATGATTAGTGATATGGATTTTAGGAATGTCATAAATTCACTAACTACATTGTAAAGTTTATGTAAATGGGTGGTACCCCCAGTTTCATGGTACCATGTTAGTATATTTTCTTACACTTTTTATTTAAGGATACTTCATCAGTTTTGTCCATAGATTGACATGCTATTCTGTATAATGATTGGCTACCTTTTCTCTTTTTCTTTTTCCTCTCTCTCTCCCTCTCTCTCTCTCTCTCTTCTAGGAGATACCTAATCCTTTTTGTTCTACTTTCTTGTTTTTTTATTTTTCTGTAAAAGAAGAAATTGTTTTAAGGAAGAGAGGGAAAAAACTATAAAAATGGAGAATAAGACATCCTCCCCAATAACCTATAAAACTAAAAAGCCCAAGCTTACTGTGCTGAAAACGATTCTCTATTCCCTATGTATAATTGCCTCTAGTTATGATAGAGCTCTAGAAGACTAATTTTAGGGTAATGTTCATGTGCTTCTGCCCATAAGGGATTCATTCTCCCAGCACTACCCCTGTTTCCACTCTTGTTTCTGCCACCATCAGTGCCACGATCACACTTGACATTACCACCACCACCACTACCATTATCATCTCCACCACTATTAGAACTGCCACTACCACAACCACCATTATTATAAATATGAATTAAGGAAAGAGTAATATGATATTGCAATCATATTAATCTCATTATCCAGTCATATAATAGAACAAAAATGTTACACATAGAAGCTTATGTTTACCTACCCAATTACCCTAATCTACCATATCCAAGATTTATTTTCCCTTTGTTCATTTGGAGTTAAATTAAAATGTTGAGGAAAATGCTACTTTGAGGAACATACATGAATGTAGGAGAACTTTATATTTCAATGCATTGAATTGCATAATATAAGCACCTCTTTAGAAGTCATGTATCCCTTTCATAATCTAATTTTTTCACAGGTCTGTCAATGGAGCTTCCATATTCACTACATCTGGGTATGCTGCTAGGAAGTTCCAGAATGAAATTGTGGCTGGGTTGGTAAGCAGTAAGCTAACCCTTTTTTTTTTTGAAACAGTGGTTTCGCAATCAATCAGTTCTCCACTCTGGTGGAAATTAGGGATTAGGGATTAGATTATGGTACTCTTAACCTGGCACAATAGTAGCCTATCTTTGGCCTAGATAATTATAACTATATCTCTGGTGATCCTATGATATTCAATCATCAATTAGTTACTGAAAGAAACATGAAATTTTATATCGGAATGTTATGACATTGTATCAAATTTAAACATTCAAATTCCATTCAACGACCCACTTTTTACATGGTAGTTATCTCTGTTTCCATATGATGGTGGATGGACACCAAAGACATCTGTTATTACCTTAAGCCCATTTGAGCTCATCTGTCATGCATGTTTCTTTTTTTCTTTTATAAATTGTTATGCATACTTGTGATTTTGAATGCCAAGCAATTTTCTTACCTGAATTATATGTGCTTAGGTTGGGGTCAATGTTCCTGTTCCAGTTGCAACGCCTTGTCCTATATTTAATGGTTCCACAGCATCCTTTGGTAACGATCTTAATTTATTTGGTAAGATTTCCTTGATTTCCATTGGTCTTTCCTTTCCCAAACCCATGGGTGATTACTACTGGTTATTAAACCATTTTCTGAAGTTCATTAAGAAAGCTTTTTAATTTCATTGCTTCTCTTTCTGAATTGCAGGAAAGGCAGGTATGCATTTTTACACTCAGATCAAGACAGTGGCACAACAGTGGAGGGACTTGCCTTTCTCTTCTGAGATGGATACGACCACCCGAGGAATGTCTTCGCTGTTGCCTCTCTCATCTGGGAGAGATTCACCTCGTCTAAGAATATCATCAGCTGTGTCTCTAGCATCAGAGAGCAATTCACCTGGCCACAGGGTAGAGAGAGAGATACAGAACTCAGGAATTTCATCTATGCCTTCAACAACAGATGGAGATTTATCAAGTGAGGAGGCATCGCTGACCATGCCCCTAAGATCTGAAATTAATTTGCCAAACCAAAGACTGTCAGTAGGTACATCTCCAGTAACAGAGCCTGATTTACACAGGCAAGGAGTGCCACAAACAACACATCAGCCGCATGATAGAGTGTATACTGGTCAAGCATCTCAGTGGACTGAAACTTCATCTCTGACATCCCAGGGAACAGAACATGTTCGTTCATCTCCTGAAGGGATATTTATGCCATCAGCATCTCAAATCAAAGGCGTCGCGGACCCAACATCTAAGAGGACTGAGATTGCGATGACTTTAACCCATGACAGCTTGTACATGCCTGCATCGCATAAGAATGAAAATATGGTTTCAGTGTCGCTTAAGAATGAAAATATGCCTTCAGCATCTCACAGGACTGATGTTACTGCACGTACAACTACCGACAGAATATACATGTTGGCAACTTCTCACTTAAATGAGACTATGGGTCAAGCATATCAAAGAACTGATGCCTCCATGTTTCCACCTTCTGAAAGGATGTACCTGGCACCTGCTGCTCAGAGGAACGACATGGCTACAACTCAAAGGAATGATGCTGTGTTGAATCCAACCTCCAAAAGCATATACATGTCTGCACCAGCACAAAGGAATGATAACATGACTTCAACTTCTCATAGGGGTGATGCCATGGCTCTGAATTCTGAGAGAATTTATATGCCTCCATTGGTTCAAAGAAATGCCAGTATGCCACCTTCTGAGAGATTATATATGCAGCAGCATCTCGGGCATGTACACTCCGAACTCAATAATTTCAATGGATGATTTCCCAGTCAGGGGCCGTCAGTGACTTTGCCAACCTCCCGGAGGATGTAAGATACCGAACTTCTAAGTTTTTTATCTTTTAGGAATCGTGTAGACATGGTAATTTCATAGTGGGGAATAGGGTTCAGAGTTGTAAATACCAAATTGGTCAAAGTGCTAGTTTGCTTCTGAGCCGGATCGGCTTGTAATGCGCTTCTGACCTTTTTCTATTGGAAGGCATCTAATTAATACCATTTAAAGGTATATAAAATGAAACATGATTTAACAAATCTTAGAAATCAAATTCCGGAAATTTCTGCTGGATCCCTGTCATATTCAGATGAAATTACATTTCGTAGTTGGAAGGATAAAATTATCGTTCCTAGTTGGAATTGTGCGTCGATGTCTATAATCAGATGGGTTATAGTGAATGAGATAAGATGCTATAGCTCGTCTTTCTTTTTTTTTTTTTGGTTTTGCTTTTCTGTTCTATTTTTATTTTTTTGCTTTTGTTGGAAAAGCTGTTTGTCTTAGATTAAAATGCAACCATTAGGTGTAAGGTTATTTCCTCTTTTTGCCTCTATATTTTTTGGATTAGAAAGAAATTAAAGCATGACAATTATTACATTATTAGTTTCAGTCAGTTGGAAATTTAATTTTTTAATTTGTGCTAATAAGTTTTTAGTTTTTACGATGCTAATATGAAGAAAAGATAGAGGAGATCACAATTTATGCTTACATAAATAAAAAGATTATTTTTGTAATTACAGTGAAGTTACAGGGGATCTTGTTATAAATGATCCATAACAAGTTTACCTGAAATCTCCATATTTTCGCACAGAAAAATCCCAAAACAACCTGATTTTGCACTATTTGTCTGTAATCTACCTCCATTCGGATCATAATGTAAAATTGAAAGAAAAATACATGGCAAAACATCAAAATTTTCTAGTTTTTTTAACCAGCTCTATTATATTTCTTGCTTTTGATTTCTTTTCTTTCTCTTGTTAGAGTACTTGTGCAATGTAGTGTTGTAAATCATCTCAATTTCAACGACTTATGGGAAGATAACAAATTAAGGGAAATTTAGGAGTGTGGGAGGTGGAAAAATAGTTCTTCATAAGGGTGTTTATCTCCATCTCCATTATCTTGACAAGAAAACTATGACGACTCCGAAAATTTCAAATGAGATAAATTATAAATTGAGTGCAGAACCGAAATAAATAATTAAGGTTTACATTCCTTATACAATAACTGAAAATACCAAATATGGCTTACGGGTATAACCCTTTTAAAATAACAATTAATAACTAAAGAAATAAATTAAAAGTAAACAAATTGAACGTGTTACTCGCAATTCTCTTGTAAATCGGGATATGGAGCCTAATCTTCTTGATATGAAATTGTTAATGAAAGAGTGAATTACACTAACTCAGTAAAAATATCACACTACTCACCGACACAGAAATGAAGGCGGTAAAAATTATAAAAATAACTAATGAACTTCTTAATTTAAGTAAATTCGTTTATCATAAATAAAATCATTAACTGCATACTCACCATAACGAAATTTTCAAAAATAATATATTGAGTCAATAATATAACACATAATAATTTCATATACATCAGTCGAAATAACAACCTTCCCTTTCATCAGCCTACTGATATCCATGGGGATCCATAGAAATGTCTCCATTATGCGTGAACCGTTTTTTTTACATTTTCAATTAATAGATCGTCCCTATATCTTGTCCGGTATGAGGGCCAAAATATATCATCCCTCAATACCCCATCCGGTGTGAGGGTGAAACGGGCTGTCCCCATACCCTGTCCGGTATGAGCGCTAAATTACCAATTCTCGATACTCTGTCCAGTATGAGGCAACGTTCACGGCAGAGTTCCCTATGTATCAAGTCCGTCCACCATCTGTCATTATATTCAGTAAAGCTGCCATTTCATATATCCACTTAATCAAATAATTTTCTGTTTACATTTAATTTTCAGTTTCTCAATTCAATCGTAATCACATAGAACAAGCAAAACATGCACCAAAGGAATACAATCGCATCATCATACCAATTTCAATGTATTAACATGCATTCGAAAAATCGTAAAATGGATCATGCTCCTCTTGATCTGAAATAATTAATGAAAGAGTGAGTTACACTAACCCAGTAAGAATATCACACTATTCACTGACACAAAAATGAAAGTTGGTAGAAATCATAAAAACAACTAATGGAGCTCTTAATTTAAGTAAATTCGTTTATCATAAATAAAATCATTAACTGTAAACTTACTATAACGAGATTTTTAAAATAACATATATAATCAATAACATAACACATATCATAATTTCATATACAATCAGTCGGAACAATAACATTCCCTTTCATCAGCCTACTGCTATCCATGGGACCCCATAAAGATGTCTCCATTACGAGTGAACCTTTTTTTTTTTATATTTTCAATTAACGGACTGTTTTTATACCCCATTTGATATGAGCGTCAAAAGATATCATCCCTCCATACCTCATTCGGTATGAGGGTGAAACGGGCTGTCCCCATACTCCGTTCGGTATGAGTGCCAAATTATCAATCCTCAATACCCCGTCCGGTATGAGGCAACATTCACGGTAGGGTTCCCTATGTAATCGTTCCATCCACCATCTCCTAAGATATCTAGTAAGGCTGCCATTTCATCCATCCACTTAATCAAACAATTTTTCGTTTACTTTTAATTTCAGTTTTCTAATTCAACTGTAATAACATAAAACAAGCAAAATATGCACCAAAGTAATACAATCGCATCATCATACCAACTTCAGTATATTAACATGCATTTGAAAAACTGTAAAATAGATCATACTCCTCTTGATCTAAAATAATTAATGAAAGAGTGACTTACAGTAACTCAGTAAGAATATCACAATACTCACCGGTACAGAAATGAAAGTTGCATCAAAACAACTAATGGAGCTCTTAATTGAAGTAAATTCATTTATCATAAATAAAATAATTAACCGTATACTTACCGTAACGAGATTTCCAAAAATAATATATAGAGTCAATAACATAATACATCATAATTTCATATACAATCAGTCGGAAAGCAACATTTCCTTTCATCAGCTTACTGATATCCATGGGGGTCCATAAAGATGTCCCCATTACGCGTGAACCATCTTTTTTACATTTTTAATTAACGGACCGTCCTTATACCCCGTTCAGTATGAGCATCAAAAGATATCATCCTTCAATACCCAATCCGGTATGAGAGTGAAACCGACCGTCCCCATAACCCGTCCAGTATGAGACAACATTCATGGTAAGGTTCCTTATGTACCCGATCCGTCCACCATTTCTCAGGATATCTAGTAAGGCTGCCGTTTCATCCATCCACTTAATCAAATAATTTTTCGTTTACGTTTAATTTTCAGTTTTTCAATTCAACCGTAATCATATAAAACAAGCAAAACATGCACAAAAGGAATAGAATCGCATCATCATACCAATTTCAATGTATTAACATGCATTCGAAAAACTGTAAAATCATGTAATCGTAAAACATAACAAATAGTAATAAATAACCGGTTCCGACTCCATTAGTAATCTGTAATTAATTATGAATATTTTTTAAGTTTCACAAAATATCATATTATTTAAAATTAAACTTCAATTCTATAACATGGGAATTCTTACTCAAATTGATGTCCAAAATGATAAACTTTTGATTGCGCCTACAGTTGGTTCTCGGTTCCCTGAATTTTCATTCGGAGATTAAAACGTACTTCAGGTACCTAGAAATATTTCAAAAAATCCAAAATCAGTATTAGGAACCTTTTTTGTCCAATTCTGAAATTCTGGCACGGCGGCTTCGCCGTACTCTCGTGACAACATCGCCGCCCGCGGCAGCGGTTTGCCTCAGATCGCCTATTTTCAGCCAATTAAGAGGTATCGGTTGGCCGAAAAAAGTTAAAAAACTAAAACTTACCGACAGTGGGGTTCTCAAGTGCGGCGGCTCCGCCGGTTAACCTTCGCGGTTGGGAGTTTTACTTTGGTCAACCTGTAGAGAAGGAAACAGTGATTACAATGGTAGAAGAATTTTGCAGAACGGGAATCGAGAAATGTCTCATCGGAGGCGATTTTTTTTATTTTTTCGTGGCAGCACCGCCGAGTTCTGCTCGCAGTTTTCGGCCAATCTGCTGGTATTTTTACTCCGATTTGGTCATGAAGGTGTTTAAAATTGAATTTCGAGTAATTTTTTTTTTTTACCTCTTTTGGTGGTTGGAAGTGGCTCCAGCGTGTCAGCGGCGACGATAGGCTTCCTTCCCGGTGACTTGATCTGGGTTGTCAATTGCGTTTGATTTGAACCGTCCGATTGCGATTAAATAGAGAGTGAATATGGGTTGTTCATGGTGATTTAATCTGAGCTGTCCGATCACATTTAAATAGAAAGTGGATCTGGACCATTCATCACGTTTAAATCTAACCGTCCGCTCGTGTCTAGGGAGAGAACAGATTAGGACTGTTTGTGTGCGTGGAAACAAATTTGGACTGTCCGATCGTGGGCATGTGGATCGCCCGTGTGGCCTCCCGCGTGGCACCCATCAGCGTCCTTTGCCACGCGACGAGCTCTGATTTGTCGAAACTGCTGACTTAACGTCCTACGTAGTACAATTTTGCTAAATTACGTTTTGACCATCATTTTCCAAATTTTCTTTCAAAAATTAGAATCCAAAATTTCATATGTTTTTTTTAAAAATTGTTTTCAATTTCATCTGCCATTTAATTTTTTTATTTTATATTAAATAAAAATTAAAAAATTATATTTATATACTAATTTTAATTACATTAAAATTAATAAATCAAGAGTATTACAAAAACTCTTATATGTAACCAGTAGAACCAGAGTTTGGCCAAACGTTTGTGCTCCCCAACCATTTATTTGAAGAAAAAAATTTTCCCCTATGTGAAAATGTAGTTGAGACTGTGAACCAAAAAAAAGGAGTACGATAATAAAAGGTAAAGAACGAGGGAGAAAAAAGATTCATTTAATAATTTTTTTCACGTTTGTGAATTTTAATTTTTTCGTACTCGGAAAATTAAAGATGTTTTTTAAAATTGCATATTATATTTTAGATTTGAATTCTTATGTTTATATACTTAATTAATTGAAATTTTTGTATCCATTAAATTTATTACTTTCTAAAATTAAAAAGTTGAATCTAAAAGATAGAACTCATTTATCTTTAATTTTACGAATATTATGTTAAACTTACAACTCGAAAAAAAAAATCTACTTATCTTTAATTATTATTATCTTAAAATCTTATAATCAACTTACTGTTGGTTATCTTTTTAATTAAGTTATGGAATTAAAAAGATTTCATAGAATGAAGACAAATCTCTTTCATGATATGAACTAGCGAAAATCAGAAGTTTATATAGATAATATGATGTTAAATGAGTGTTAGAGAAAATCATTTTGCAGATCTTAGAAAGTTCTTCTAGAGAGTGGAAAATGAAATATAGGATTAAACCCAAAAAAGTATATATTTAGATTCACATTAGGGGAACTTCCAGTTGACTTGGGTTAGCAGTGGCAAGATAAAGGTTAACATACAGAAGGTAGAAGTAAAACAAGAGATTGAAGGGACTAAGATTGAAATAAAAAAGTTTTGAAGAGTACATCAGCTAATTCATCAAACAATTTACCTCACATCTGGACTGATCTTCAAAGTACTTAAAAAAAAGATTCATTAGTGAAGTGAGAATCGTTTTAAAGCCTTTAGATATATCAAAAAGTATTACTCGAATTATCCGAAATTTGACAAACCTCTATTGAACTTGGTAACTTATGAATAAACTACATATTCACCTAACACATAATATATAGAAAATTGTTATCATCAAGTGACATTATTAGGTGAAATGGGTATGAGATCCATGGGGTCACAGTAGCTATTATACTCCGTCAAAAAAAAAAGAAAAGAAGAAATGATATTATAATTATATTGAGGTTTTATTATCAGCCAGAGAGCCACTAATATATATATATATGTTTTGATTTGTTAGGGGTTCAATATGAAAACACAACAGAGAACCCTAAGAAAGAAGAGGAAGGAGAAAAGAAGAGAGAAAAGAAAGGGATAGGTCTGCAAGCAGCAACAAATATAAGTCTTCAAAACTGATTTATATTTAAGTTCATAACATATTTATGCATAAAAGCTTTTGAGGTCGGCAGTGGATACTCAGCCATTTTTTAATTTTTGACTAATTTATTGCTATGAAATCTATGCAGCTATCTTATATGTCATAAGATTTCTATACACACTAAGATTGAATGATTTAGATTTGAATTGAGAAAGTTATAAATTTCAAATATTTAGGATTTTAGGAAAACATGGATTGCACGGTTGTTGTCTTCTGGCAATTTTTGTTTTTTAAATTCTTCTGAACAAGTTGCAGCAACCAAAACTACGTAGATATAGTCTGCATGTAGTAAATTTTTCCGTAGATATTGAAGTTTCATGACTTGAATAATGAGAATTAGTGGAGTTAAACAAATTTTTGAATACTTTGAACAGCTAGAAAAAATGCAAATTTTGGCAATGGATTTAAGTTTTTGAATGTCCATTTTGATAATTTTTTGGATTGATTTTTTTTTTAAACTATAGTCCTATATGTGTAATTTATGGATATTTAAGAATTATTAACTAATTTAATTTATAATAAGAGAATTGAATTATAAAATTATTTGCGCTCTATGCAAATATAATGATTTAAATCTTAATTTAGAAAATAATTTTAAGGTGTTAAAATAGATACTATTTTATCTAAAAATTGCGAATATATAGTTTTTTAATTATATATCAGAATTTATTGGGTTATATGAAAAAAGTAATGGATTTCTAAAGTAGTAAGTTTTAATTAAATTTTAAAAAATTTGATGAATTTTAAATGGTACTCCTGATATTGTGAAGACCATGCACTAGGCTTATTAGCTTGGGTTCACTAAACAACTTGAATGATTATGAATTTAAAGAAGTTTTGCCATTTTTCTTTTTAAATTTGGATTTAACATTATATGAAAGTGTTTTTTTTTAAACTTATTTTGCTATATATAATATTTAAAAATTGTTATAGAATTTATTAAATTATCTAATTGCTTATTAGCTTGAGACTATTTATTAATTGATATAAATTTTCCTAAAGTACGAATGATCTATATTATTATTTTAACTACAAACAGTTGATCAAATTTATCTTTTAATGAATTCAGAAATTTTAAGTTAAGATCAGTACAAATTAGTTTATAAATATTTACTTAGTTAAGTTGGATATGGTGTAAATTGCATTAAGATCAGTACAAACAAAACTTAATGTCATATTAGAACAATACTTCTTTAAGTTTCACAAAAAATAATAAAATTTTGTTTTCATTCTCAAGAAACTGTATGAAGTCAAATTTTATTACTTTAGAAAAATTCTCACCAATTATAATGAAATTTATAAAACTTATATATTTGCACTACATATAATCTTAATGTAGATTTTGAGATCAACTCCACAAATAAAGATCAATTCCAAAAATAAAATTCATTTGTTTCAAACAGGAAATCAATGGTTTTGGTCTAATTTGTTGAATCAACATTTTGCAGGAATCCTGAAAATGCTGCATATCCTACTAAAGATGATTGTTCATCTTCTCGAACCATGTGTTTTCTGCTTCATTTTTATGTTAAGTATACTTAAGAAAACTATGTGCATTCTTTGCATCTGGAAGTACTTCCTTTGAATTATCAAAAAGAAAGATTTACTCTGAGTCTCTATCTGCCTTAGATATATATCTTCACCAAAAGCAAATTGTCCATGAAGATACAGGTTCAAAGTAAGTGATTGAGATTTCTTATGATATTCTGAAGCTATTACAAGAATCAATTACTCCGAGTTTTAGGATCTGCAAAAATGAACTTAATCAGGTCCCACCTTAAACATGCAGTTCTACCGGCTAAATGTCCTGGCAGACCTAAAAGTCTTCATGATCCAATGAGCAGGGTCTAACTTTTAGACGAAAATCTAAAAATAATACAAAAATTATCTAATTATATTACAACTTAGCTCCCCAGGAATTATAAGGTATCTGAATTTTTTCTGATTAATAATTCACATCATAGAAGCTTTAGCAAAATCTGAGAATATGGAGAAATTTTCTAAAAGAACCTGTGGATTTCCTTGCTCAACCTGCATAAGGCAAAACGAGACTTTTGAGTCCAGTGATCACAGCATCAGTTCAGCTCTTAGGCAGTCACTTATTGCCCTGCCTGATTCAAATTTTATTCCAGAAAAATCAGTAATGGAAAATTTCTTATTGGTCCCTTTAATATATAATAAGTAAAAAAGATATTGAGAAGAGCCTCTAAGGGCAGACAAAAGCATATAGATCTCAAGATTTCTTTAAATTAAAAAAGAAAAGTTAAAATGGAATGCCTCTGTGGCATTGCCGCATCTCATAGTCAAAATTTTATTAATGGCACGTTTATTTTGGGGGTGGAATAAAGATTGAAAAAAGTTAGCTAAGAATAAAATTTAATGTAATTATTTATGATTATAGATGATATTAATTGAGATATGAAGTTCTGAGTACATCATCACTATCACTCCATCTCCCCTATGTTCACAGCAACTTTATCCTACTCTTCTCCAGGTAAAAGACTATTTTCAAATGTCGTAAACTACTCAAAGCTCGGGCTCTTTGGTAGCCTTGTTATCCATGGCTGAAACCATATAAATCCAATAAACATCAATCTAAATCTACTCCATGACTCAAATCATATAACTCCAACAGCTTCGTTCTTGGGTACTTTAGTAGTCTTGTTATCCATGACTAAGACCTTATAACTCCAACAACCGGATGAATTATTGCACTCTTCTCCTCTCGATAAACATATGAATAAGTTAATCATAGTGAACTCAAGGTAAGGGACTCTTATAAAATTATTCTCCATGGTATTAGGAACTAGTTGTAACCCAAAGATCTGAGGGTTATGGGCTCTCTATGGCTTTGTTACACCAATTAGTGAGAGATTCAAGCAATATATAAGCAAGTAAATAATGTTACTTAGTAACTTTTGGCCTACTTACCTGAGAATTTCTACTACATTCCAATAGTCACTGAATAATATTCGAAAATTAATTATTACCACTTGGACTTAGAACATTATCAGTTCATGAAACAACTTTGTACATCTCTTGATTCATGAGACAAAAAATTATCGTCACTCACAGAGTATCCCTCATTGAAAGTCGTTCCAAAATAAAATCTCTAAATTTAAATCCTATTGAGAATCTACACTTGTTTACCCAAGTCAATAATAAATATAAAGCCATTACAAAATGTCACCCCTGAATTTTACAATAATAAAAAGTTTTTATATTTAATTTTCTGAAGACAACACCACTTCACAATGTTCTTAGATGGTTCAACGGTGATGCTTGGTAATGATATCGTAATAATGTCCAAAATTGATGGCAGGTGGCTGCTAGCGAAGGATGGCAGTTCTATCTTTCATATGAATGGCTCGTGTTTCCATGATCTGTATTTTGCAACCTTTTTTTTTTTCTTTTTTTCCTCTTTTCTTGGTTAAGTTCCACCATGACTACATATCCCTATCATAACCACAATAATCATATTTGTACCACACGATAATTAAATATGTTTAACCAATTATACAAAAGTTGTAAGCTCACAAGAAATTATTAGATTTTATTATTATATACAAGCAAGGAGCAACAATACTTAGACTACAAAAAGAAAATAGGCAAACATACCAAGATTCCATGCCCAAGAATGAGAATATTGTCCATGTTCAAGACTGTGGAAATACGATGTGCAATTGTGATCACTGTCATTCCTTTGCATTGACGAGATATTGTATTTTGTAGTATTGAAGATGTTTGAGTGTCAACATTAGCTGTACATTCGTCAAGACAGAGAACCTGAAAAATTCATTACTATAACTTTATTTCTCTTTCAAATGCATGCAATCATCTCCAAGAATTTTCTTATCTGAAGCCGATACATCTAGGAACTTTACAACATATACTCCATTCAACTAATTCCCTTTGAAAAATGGAGGTTATTCAAAATACTTTGTGCTCAATCAGGTGATGTGTTCAAGTACCATCTTGTTAGATTAGTGTTGTCTCATAGCCTCCAAAGAAGGGAGTTTGGGCTCCAAACTTCTTCTTCTTGCTGGTGGCTTTGAGGATTTATGATTGAGAAGGGTAAATTGTGGTTAATTACTTTTAAATATGAAGTAAATCTGGATATTAAAGAGGAAGTAAATCAAGGTGTTAAAAATGAAGTAAATAAGATTAAAAGATATAAAGGTAAAATACATCTTTTGCAATTAATTGTCTATTTCATTTTTCCGTCCTGAAAAACCTGTATATAAGGGCTACTATAATATATAACAGATACACATAAAAACAATTCTTAACTTGGTATAAGAGTTATAGAAGAAAAAATATTTCTCTTATGTTTTCAACCCTAACTGGCCTTCATTGTCGGATAAACCCTAAACCTACAACCAACCTTCATAGCTGGAACTCCTCCCAAACAACCTCTATTGTCAGCTGCAAACAGCCTCTGTTTTTGGTCGCAACTGCTTGCTTTGGCTGCAAACAACCACCTTTCTTTTCGGCTTCGTTTTCGCACAGCTTTGTTAGTTTTTGTGCCTTGTTCTGCTTTGTTTCGTGCTCTATTCTGTGATGTTTTTGCTCTCTGTTCTGCTCTGTTTTTGCGTACATATCACCTTTCGTGCATTCTGTTTCAATGTGCTCTGTTTTGAACCTGATCCCGCGTGCTCTGCTCCACCTGCAAGTGCGATGTGTTCCTACATATCCCCTGTTCTGCACAGCCCTGTTTCGGCCCAGTTCCACTTTTATTATTATTATTATTATTATTAATTTTTTATTATTTTTTTGTGCAGTCACCTCCAGCACACAACCACCAGCCAAGCAGTCTACAGCCACTGTTTCAATCGGGCTTAATTACTGAAAAATCAAATAATATGGGTAGTAACATCCCAAAATACTCGAATATATTCCCACAAGAAAATTCTATCAGCAAATTTCAGCCTATCCAGACAGCTTATCATTTTATAGAGAAAGATTATTTAAACTGGTTTCAATTAATCCAGACCACTTTTAAAGGTAAAGGCAAACTTAACCATCTCTTAGATACCAGACTCAAAACTCGGAGATCCCGCATTTGATGAGTAGCACGAAGAGGACTCTATGATCATGATATGGCCATAGAACTCCATGAATCTAAAAATAAACAAGACCATCATGTTCCTGCCTGCAACCAAAGCAGTGTTGATGCAATTGGCGGAACTTACTTCAAAGTCAAGGACATTGCACAAATTTATGACCTAACAGTCAAGATATGGTCCGCCAAACAAAAAAGTCAACAAAAAAATAGTCGAACTTGTTAAAGAACGAGTGGCAGGAATTAGATCAGTATCACAATGTGACCATGGATTATAGTAGATATGTAGCCTGATTTAAGAAATTTATAGAAAAAAATTGTGCATATCAATTTTGGCAGGATTAAACCCTAAATACGATCAAGTACGAGTTCAAATCTTGAGAAAAGAGGGACATCACTTAATATGAGGTAATTTTTATTATAATAGTGGAAAAAAGGAGGAGAAGGATTATGTAGAACCTCACTCCACTGATAGTTTAGTCTTGACCTTACGAGATTCCAAACCTTGTTAGCAATCAAAGGAAGTGAGCTCGGGAAGCAGATAACAGAGACAATCTTTGGTATACTTACTATAAAAAAGCTAGACATACCAAAGACAAGTGCTGGAAATTGCATAATAAGTCTAGTACCTCCAGCAAAGAATGGAGATACAAAAATATCACAATGAAGATTCTTAATCAAGTTCATATGGCTAACCTACAGGAAGAAGAAACACTTGTTGATATTACTGTTTTCAAAATCGAGATTGAACAATTATGAAATCGATTAGAGAGTCCTGACAAGCCTTCAGGTAGAAGTATAATAAAATATTCAGGTGTGCTCCATTTTTTACACAGTTTGAATGCCTAATACAAACCATTTAAAAATTTCTGAATTATCAACTCAGGAACCACTAGTCATATGATTAATATTTCTAAACTTTTTCATACATATGTCCCAATCCAAATAATAAGAAGATTGTCACTGCATATAGTTCCCTAAATAACATTGCAGGTAAGGGAAACAGTAAGCTTAATCCTACATTGTCTTAGCAAATGTACTACATGTTCCAAATTATGCACTAACCTTTTGTTAGTAAGTAAATTATTACAAGACTTGAATTGTAAAATAATATTTTAATTCTTCTCACTATAACTTCCAAGATCATAATTTGGGAAAGATGATTGGATATGATTAAACCAAACATGGACTTTACTACTTGTGTGCACTTGAGAGAGCTGTCCGATCAAAACAAACAGAGGCGTCAGAGAAGCTTGGTCGTAGAGGCTAGGGTTTCTTTGAGAAGCCTGGTTGCTAAGGTTCTAGACACAAAGAGTTGCGTTAGATGGCGTTGTGTCTGCATCTGGCATCTGCGTCTGGTCACAAGCGGGCTGTGTCGGTGTTTGGTTACAGCAGTTGGCATCATAATCGTGGCCGCATCTAGTTGGGTTTCTGCGTGGTAGAGAGGAATGCAAAGGGAAGTGGCTGTGGCAAAGGAGCAGTCCACGACTCTATGTGCGGTTGGGAGTTTTGGTGTTGACATGAAGGCTGGTTCGGCTACTACTAGTGGTCAGCGGCGGTGGTTGGTGGCTGGTTTACCATGGCCAACTATGAAGGCTGATATAATCCTTTCTTAATATAGGAAGCAAGATAGGGTTTGTAACTGAAGCAAAAGTTTCTTAATATAGGATCTGATACGATATCAATAATAGTTTATATATATTTTATTGAATATTAAAACACTATATATATATAGTTTTCCAGAACAAAAAAAATATATATAATTAATTACAAAGGGTTTAAGTATTCTAAAGACTACTCCATCGAGCTAAATCAATTTGGAACCAACAAAATAGGTTTCAGAATATAGAAAAGGTTAAATTATCAAATTAATTCTTGAAATTTGGCATTTATTACAATTTGGTCTCTAATGTTTTTTTATTACAATTTGGTTCCTAATGTTTTCTATTTGTTTTAAACGCATCATTTCCTTTCATTTTCTAGTCGAAAAAACTAAAATGGATCAGACCATGTTTGAATATTTTAAAAAATAACTCAAAAAATAATTTTAATTAATTAAATTAAATTAATAAGTCATAACAATAAAAGATAGACCTAATATTATTGTTAATTTATTAATATATTAATAGAATTAATTAGTTAAAATTATTCTTTTGAGATAATTTTTACAGTATTCAAATATAATCTAATCATTTAGCTTTTTCCCTTAAAATAAAATGAACTTGGATGTTTAAAATAAATAAAAAATTGTTAGGAACCAAACTGTAACAAAAAAATATTAGAAACTAAATTGAAACAAGTAAAAAACTTCAAAGTCTAATTTGGTAATTTGCCCTATAGAAAACTATAACCTAGTTTAGTATAATAAAAATTAACAACAATCACAATCACAATCATAGAATTACCAAAATTACAATTATAGAGTTTTTTAAAGAGGATCCTGTCATCCATTTTGTATATGGATTAGATCTCTATTTTTATATGTTACTTTTGTATCTCCTATTTCTTTGTTTTTTGGTTGAAGATGCCTTATGCTCTCTTTTCTTAGACAATGAAGTTCCTCTTTTACCCAAAAAAAGTATATTTGCATAATTCAGCTACATTTCATCTTAATGCAAACTTGTGCCAACAACCAATGTTCAAACATGTAGTTAGCAATACTATTAAACCAAATAGTCAAGTATCAATCAAACATTTCAGGACAAAGTTACTCGTCTTACCTTAGAAGACTTGATAAGAGCACGGGCAAGGCACAAAAGTTGCCTTTGGCCAACAGAAAATGAAGCTCCAGATTCCTTGACGTGAATATCCAGCCCTCCTGCTCCTTCTACTTCTTCCTTGACATGGCATTTGTCCAAAATATTCCATATTTTTGTGTCATCACTCATTCGAAGTGGATCTAGATTATCCCTAAAATTTTAGACAGCAAACTATAGATTGAGGCCTTAACATGAAAATTCACCTAATTACAGCGGTTCCACCTCCTACCCACTAGAGGGGAAAGCAAACCAATGACACAAATAATGTTCTATAATCCACAAATCAAATGCAGAGAAGTACCTTAGTGATCCTTCAAATAAGAAAGGGCTTTGAGGAACAACAGCTAACCGCGCACGGAGATCTCTAACAGGAACATCAGTTATGTTAAGGCCATCCACCAAAATTTTTCCATTACATATTGGGTTAAGGCGGAAAAGGGCATTCAATATGCTAGATTTTCCCGCACCAGTTCTCCCGATAATTCCAACCTTTTCCCAAAAAAATCTATCTGTCAAAGTATATACATTTTGGGAAACTCCATGCAGGAAAAACAACAAGCCAATGAATGAAAAAAATGTAACTTGATCAATCGTAAAAATGTGCTACCTGTGTCCCTCCCTCAATGGTAAAGGCGATATTACGCAGTGCAGGGGGTAAAGACGGCATATATCTCATAGTAACATTCTGAAATTCAACTTGTCCTTGAACAGGCCAATTTGGATCCAGAGACTGGCATCCATATATATTTTCTTGAGGCACATCCATATACTAGAAAGAGCGGAGGTAATGGTTAGAAATCAAAATGGAAGTGTATGAACAAAAAATATTCCCCGTTGTCCAACTTCTACCTGAAGAGCTCTTTCAATGGAAACCATTTCTTTTTCTGTTTCAGTAAAACTTGTCAAAAAGCTTCCTAACAACGAAACTATTGGAGCTGCATATGAGAGGGCCAAACCTACCTGTAAAAGAATTTAATAAGTATTTTTTTAATTGTTATCAAGTGGAAAATAATTATACTCCGGTTTCAACATACCAGCCCTGGGGTACCAAAACTAATTGGTAGATTGCCCTGAGAACCAATAACGGCCATCATGGCAACAAATGAGATGATCAATGCTCCTAACAACTGAAAGAAAACCACTGACATTAGAATAATAAAAAATTCCATACATGATCCATGCTTACAACTGCCATGTAGTGGTACTGCTTCAGAGTATTGGGCTCCTTGACGACAGTAAATGAAGTCTTGTTCAAAACTATCATAACCAGGGTAGATTCATAATTAACGTCCAACCATTTTAATTTTAAAATATACCTGAAGACGAAGGGAAAGCCACAAACTACTAGTTATCTCAGAGTAAGAAGTCCGCTGATACAGCATAACATGTTCGTTGAATCTAGACAAGAAATAGCCCTGTCCAAAGATAGTGTTTGTTAACAGCAACATACTTTTCTGTTCTAATTTCCTACACATAAGAAACCTAGAAAAAATCCAAAAGAATTTCAGAATGGATATTACCATATAAATCATATATAAATGTTGATAAGGGTAGTGCAATGTGACACCAACCGGGAAAGGCAATTCAATTTCAAAGCTAACTAACACAATTTCTAAAGATAATGCTCTCAGATGCACTCCCTTTTTCGTTTTTGGATAAAAAAGGAAATGTATTATTAGAAAGGAAGAGATTACAAAAGGACTAAGTATCCCAAGAGAAAAAGAAAAAAAAAAGAAGGGGAGAAGAAAGACTAACTTATCTCTATACAACATAGACAAAGGTATATATCCTTATAGTGCTACCTTGAACCTTATTGTTAAAGAGAAAGTAAATCATGGTATTAAAGAGAAAGTAAATCAAGATATTAAAGAGAAAATAAATCAAGTTAAAGGGTGTGTTAAAAAGGAAGTAAATCAGATTTAAAGAGTACAAGGGTAAAATTACACTTTCTGTAATTAATTGTCTGTCTTTTTCCCATTCTGGAAAATTTGTATATATAGGATTGTAATACTAAATGAAATACATAACAAACCATTCTTAACACTAACCTATAAGGATGCCAAGAAAGAAATCATATCCCAAAGAGCTGGAAGGAAATGTGTTCCTTGAAATATGATGCTGGAGGTAATCAATTTGTTGTTTTCAGGTGACACTATTTTGTTATCTAGGACTAACTAGGATTCCTGACGACAATCATATGTATTCTTACTTGTTCCAAAGTTGTTTCAGGTCTAAAGATAAACATTGGTAAATTTGGATTTGGAACTCTTTCTCGCTCTACCTAGATTCTCATTCTAATCTCTAACTAATGATTAATATTTATGAAAATTTTGAAAATGAATAGGTCAAAATTTTTAAATTCGATTAATTTGGATTTTTAGGATCTGGATTCAATTCAATTTCACTAAGCAAAACCTTAGAAGCAACCTATTCGAATATGAATTCTAGGTAAATCAATTGGGGATACTTGCGATGGTTTCATTTTCTAAATATTTGAAAGAAAACATATCTAAATGTGTGAGAGAATAGATATGATGTGTTTTATTATTAAACATTGGTAAATCAATTGGGGATACTTGCGATGGTTTCATTTTCTAAATATTTGAAAGAAAACACATCTAAATGTGTGAGAGAATAGATATGATGTGTTTTATTATTAAATAACTAGGTTATATATATTAACAACTTTGAGTATGAAAATGGAAATCATAAAATTAATTATATAGGAGTATTTTTCCTATTATACCCTTAAACACGAAATCCCACATATATACTTTCCAAACACTCTGCCTCAAACTGGTGAATGGACATTATCCAATCCTAACTCTGCAATAAATTTTATGAAATATTGGAATATTCAAACCTTTAGTAAGTATATCTACAAGTTGAAAGTTGATAAACATAAAGGGTGTGCATATTAGACCTGTCTCTAGCTTCTTTTTGATGAAATTTCTGTCAACTTCAACATGTTTTGTCCTGTTATATTGTACTTGGTTATGAGCAGTACTGATTATTGACTTGTTGTCACAATGGTCTCATTAGACCATCCCACTTGATCTTTAGATCTTCCAAAAAATCATTTTCAACCATAACAACTTACAGACTCGTTGGGCAATAGTTCAGAATTCTGATTGTATGTTGGAACTTCCCACCATATTTTGTTTCTTGCTTCTCCATGTGACGAAAGAAGGTATAATAACCTGTTGTTGGATCTTTTATCTACTGATCTGACATAATCAACATCAGTGCAGACTTACAGGTGTAATCTTTTATTCTTTTGAAACATGATACCCTCTCCTAGTTCTCTTTCAGTACAGTAGCATTCTATATGTTGCTTGCAAATGCAATTCTTTGTGATTGTGTATAACTGGCTTATTTTATTTACTGCATAAGCAATGTCATGTTTCGTGCGTGCTAGATAGATAAGTTTTTCGACTAATTTCTAGTATATTCCTTATTGATGACTGTGTCTTCCTCTATTAATCTCAGCTTATGGTTGTGATCAAGTTTACATGCCAGTTTGCTTGTATCATTTAGAAGATCATCAATGTATTTTTTTTGTGAAATTATAATTCCTTTTTTGACTGAGCACTTCAATTCTGAAAAAATATTTTAGTCTCTCTAATTCTTTAATTTCAAATTCTTTGGCCAAATATTGTTTAAGTACCAATCTTTCTTTTTGCATCATTACCTGTCATAATAATGTCATCAATATACACAAGTAGGTCATTAAATCCCTCTAAATAAGATTGTTTGATAAACAAGGTATGATCTCCTTACTTTCCTTGTATCTCATTGCCAAAATTATCTTTACGAACCTTTCAAATCATGCATTGGTGACTATTTGAGTTCATAAAGAGCTCTTTTTTTATCTGCAAATTTTATTTACTCAGAGATCTTTCGTGAATTTTGGTGGGATTTTCATGTAAGTTTCTTTATGGAGATCTCTAGGAAGATATTTTTTACATCAAACTATTGAAGTTGTAAATCATAGATAACAGCTAAAGATAATTGCATCTGAATTATATTCATCTTAGCCATAGATGTAAAAGTCTCTTAATAGTTTATCTCATATGTTTGAGTGTATCCCTTGGCCATAAGTCAGACTTTGTATCTCTTTGTTGTCCTATCAGCTTTATACTTTATGTTGAATACCTATTTGCATCCCATAGGTCTCTTTCCCTTACATAAGCTCACTGTCTCTCATGTTTGGTTCTTTTGCAATACCTACATTGCAACTTTCAAAAAATTTTTTCCATTTTTCTTAGAATAATGCTTCAAATATTGTATTAGAATAGATACTGTATCAAACTCATTGAAAAATTCTTATGAGATAGTGAACACTTATCAAATGACACAAAATTTGAGATTGGGTAAAGCCGGTACGTAGTATATTCCTTCATGTCCTTCAAAATTATAATAGGTATATCAGTGTCAGTGGCAAAGGATTCTCATCAGTGACTTCAGTTCAGGATCAACATTCTTCTTCCTTGAGTAGACTTGAAAGAATATTGGATTAGATAAAGTCACTGGTGCTAAGTTTTTTTCTGGGTTTTGAAGTCATGTAGGAGAGTCATTTTCTGGGTTACGTGTTGATTGAGGAGGGTAATTTGTTAGTGACATTGGAGGTACAGGTGTTGCTGACGTCAATGGTGAGGTAAGGTTAGAAAAAACATGTCTTTATCTTGTGCTACCGTCTCTCTCTGATGATAAGGTTAGCTAAAGTATGATTTTATTTTAACAAATGCAACATGCATAGAGATACAAAATCTTTTATTGGGTGAATGATAATACTTAAAACCCTTTTGGGTTGAGGAGCATCCTGCAAAAATACACTTAAGAGCTCTCGGGTTAACATAGAACTTATTATTATGACATTTGATATAATAGCTAAAGAAAAAAGGAAGAAATGAAATTCTATATGGCAGTATGTTCCCAACCATTTTTTATTTCTTCGGGCCACCAAACCTATGTATCTATAATTTATACATCAATAGTTTTCCATATACATCAAGATTATATGATTTTGATGAGAATTGAGGAAGTTATGAATTTTTTAAAATTTAGGAGTGCAGAAAAATACAAATCAAACAATTAGGTTCCATCCCAACCTCTTTCCAGTTTTTCTGGCCAACTTCAAGTCACTAAACATATATAGTTATAATTTTCCAAAGGCCCTAAAATCATGTGATTTGGATAAACATTGAGAGAATGATGAATTTTGAATATTTGAAGTCGCAAGAAGAAACACCAATCACAGAAACAGTAGGTTTTTGGTCTCTTCTCCAATTTGACCGACACAATTCTGGTGACAAAACTATACAGCAATGATCAATATAACACGAACTTTCCATATACACCAAGATTGAGTAATTGGGATAAAAATTGAGATTTATGAATTTTTGAATATTTAGAGATGCTAAATTCCGCGAATTATGTTTTAACAATTTTAAGCTCTAAGATCTCCCTCTTTCAGCAACTTTTTTGATTGATTCTTTTCTCAAAATTATAGTTCTACGTCTATTTTAAGGTTATATGAAAATTGCTTCTCAATTTGGTCTCCTCGTAGAATTGAATTCTTAAAGTTGGTTACGTATTATGTAAATCTGGAAACTTAGACTTCAATTGTTAATGGAAGATTTTAAAAGGTTAAAATAAATAATATTATGACCATAAAATTCTGTGGATAAATAGGTTTTACTCATGTATCACATATTAAAGTTTATTCGGTGGTTTCGGAAAGATGAATTTATGGAGCAATAAATTAGAACTGCCTGGTACAATCCCAAAAAGTTTAATTATTTCTAAATCAAAGTTTGATCAATGACCAACCTAGATATCCCTTTAGATCAAATAAATCATGACACTAGGATTTCCATTAACATGCGTATGCCTTATTGAAATTTTTGAATGTTTATTCTATATTTTAAATGAATAGGATTTTTTAGAGAAATTTTGGTATTTATTAGAAATTTTGGATTTGGCGTTATATTTGAGTAGCCTTTAACATATTATAATATTTGAAATTATTTTAAATTTTATTAAATTATTCAAGTGGTTATTAATCTTGAAAACTATTTATTTAATTTCTCAAAAAATATATATTATCGCTAAATTATTGCTTTCAAATAAAAATTTCAGATCAAACTTATTTTTTGATAGACTTGAGAATTTGAGATATTTGGTGAGCTTATTTGCGTTTCAAGAGAACATGCACTGATTGCCAGTTTTAAAACTCTCATTTAGTTATGATTTGACACTATAAATGCAGGATAAATATTGGTACTGTCAGAAATATCTCTTTTGGGGATATGCCATAAAGGTTAAATACGGTTTTGGGTCTTGTTACAAGGATATATTGTAGGCATAGCTACTAAGGATTATAAAACTTT